GCACGGAACGCTGTTCCCTTCCCACCGAAGTGGCACCTATTTATCTACTTGCAATTTCTTGCTTTCGAACTGCTAGGTTGGCAGGAGCTGGAACTAGAGACGGGAGCTCACTCCGTCATGCGGCACACTCGGGTCTCGAACTGCTGAACTACTGACCTTCCACAGCCTGCAGTTCAGGGTCTTAACCACTTGAGCCACCGCAGCTCCTATCAGCCATGTAGAACATATTATATAAATGGCTGAACAGGCGAATGTGGCAATCAAGGGCCCCACTTCTCTGCTGCGTCTGAGAGAGCAAATCCCGCTGTATTCTTCTTCCACTCAGAATGAGTCATGGGGGTGGTGGTGGTGGAAATAATCCAGGCTGTCCCTGTGATCAGAACCACTGTGGTTTGGGACCGGGCCACAGGAGTTGCTTAGACCGAGGTGCCCCCTCGAGAGCCAGTTTGGGGTTGTGGGTAAGAGCGGCAGGCTCTAATCTGGGGAACTGGGTGCAGTTCCCCACTCTTCCACTTGAAGCCCGCTGGGTGACCTTGGGCCAGTCACAGTCCTCTCAGCCCCAAAAATAAACTTAGCGCAGGCTGCTAGACAATCTTCCGATCTCCTGGCTATCCTGTACGCTGATTAATGATTGTTAGGTGCCCCTTTGTGTTTGGGGCAGGTACTTAAAGGTCTCCCGCTGCAGGTCCTCGGGAGTGCTTTGTGTGTGGAGGCGTTGCCACTCAAGAATGCTCGGCGTGCTTCAAGGACAAGATGTTTGCCGACACGGGTCTGAAGCAGTACTGCATTCCTGCTGCCGACAGGTACCCCCTTGCTTCCTGGCGGGAGAAGGTGGAGGGGCGGGGCTCTAGATTCACACCCGCTTGGCCTTGAGACTTCTGCAGCGCCAGACAGGACTCCTTCTCTGGAGGCAGTCTGGACTTTGTCGATCCCAAGGCCAGCGTGCGTCTCGGGAACTGGCGTTACATTCTGAATGGACCAAAGTGTCTTGTGACTTGAGAGTTCCGGTGAGCTGCCTGTTTAGAGTGTGTAGGGGAGGTATTTCCCCCGAGGATCTGGAATCTGTTTTGAGGATGAAAAATGAAAGGGTCCTTGATATTCTGCAGGAACTCAGTACCAAGCTCTGCATGAGATCTGTTCTCAGACCAGCGAAAGGTCCGGGGTGTGAGCTTTCACGACCTGCTTTAGCCCTGGCCTGGATGGCTCAGGCTGGTCTGATCTTTCAGATCTGGGAAGCTGAGCGGGGTCAGCCTTGAATCGTAGAATCATAGAATGTTAGAGTTGGGAGGGACCTTGCGGGTCATCCAGTCCAACCCCCTGCACTCTGCAGGAGCATAGCCGAAAGAGAGCCCTACAGCATCTCCGAAAGATGGTCATCCAGCCTCCGCTTGAAAACGTCCAGCGAAGGCGCGTCCACCACCTTCCGAGGCAGTCTGTTCCACTGCTCAGCCACTCTGACAGTTAGGAAGTTTCTCCTGATATTTCTCCCTGGTAATTTCCACCCATTAGTTCTAGTCTTGTAATCCGGAGCGAGAGAGAACAGATCTGCTCCATCTTCTGCATGACAGCCCTTCAGATATTTGAAGACTGCAATCGTGTCCCCTCTAAGCCTTCTCCTTCTCAGGCTAAACAGACCCAATCCTTTCAGCCTTTCCTTGTAAGACTTGGATTCCAACCCTCTCGCCATCCTGGTTGCCCTCTTCTGGACACGCTCGAGCTTGCCTTGGTTAGTTACTTGGATGGGAGACCCCCCAGGAAGTCCAGGGTGGGCTACGCAGAGGCAGGCGACGGCCAACCACCCCCGAACCTCTCTTGCCTTGGAAAGCCCCACGAGTCGGCTGCCACTTGACGCCCCTTCTCACCACCACCAAGCTTTTATACCCTCTGAAAGAAGACGGGTGGCCCTGTTAAGTCTGTCTGCAGCAGTAGAAAAGAGAAAGAGTCACGAACCACCTTTTATTTATTTATTTATTTATTTTATTTCACTGATACCCCGCCCTCTCCGCAAGCGGGCTCAGGGCGGCTTACATTGGGACAGCTGTGCAATAAAATACAACAGGATTAAAACAATTAAGGCACCAAGTGCAATAAAAAATAGGACAAGTTAAAACAATTAAGACAAAAACTCGCATCTTGCAGGATGCATTAGCAACTAAAATACTCACTCCCTGTTGTGTATCGCGGTGGGATCAAAGAGGGGGGATGCTAACAGAATTTAAAGGCTAACAGAATTTGTAGCAGGGGAGGAGCTTTCGTCAGGGGACTTGGCTTGACAGCAGCACATGTGAAAGGGATCTGGGTGTTCCGGTTGATCACAAGCTAAACATGAGCCTGCTGTGCGATGTGACTGCGAAGAAAGCTAATGCAATCTTAGGATGCATCAACAGAAGCCTTGTGTCCAGATCACGGGAGGTGGTCTCTATTCTGCTAGGGTCAGGCCTCACCTGGAGTCCTGTGTCCAGTTTTGGGCACCACATTTTAGGAAGGGTGTTGACAAGCTCGAGCGTGTCCAGAAGAGGGCAACCAGGATGGTGAGAGGGCTGGAATCCAAGTTTTATGAGGAAAGGCTGAAAGAGCTGGGTCTGTTTAGCCTGGGAAAGAGAAGGCTTCGAGGGGACACGATTGCACTCTTCAGGTATCTGAAGGGCTGTCATGTAGAAGATGGAGCGGATCTATTCTCTCTTGCTCCGGATTGCAAGACTAGATCTAATGGGAGGGAATTACAAGGGAGAAATGTCAGGAGAAACTTCCTAAGTGTAAGAGTGGTTGAGCAGTGGAACGGACTGCCTCAGGAGGTGGTGGATGCTCCTTCGCTGGACATTTTCAAGCAGAGGCTGGATGACCATCTTTCGGGGATGTAGGCATGTAGGGCTATCTGTCAGCTATGCTCCTGCAGAGTACAGGGGGTTGGCTAGATGACCTGAGAGGTTCCAACTCTGTGATTCTGTGAGTCACTGCTCACTTCTTCAGATACAGCCAATAACAGATAGAGCTGTATCCAAAGCAGTGAGCAGCGTCTGACAGAGTGAGCTTTGGCCCACAAAAGCTTACATCCTGATCTTTAAGGTCTTCAGTTTTGTTCTTCTGTTATGGACTAACACAGCTACCCACCTGGAATGACGCTCATGACTCCAGGCCAGTTTGGCTGGAGATCCTGGAGGTTTTTCTGTCATCTTCTGGGCGTGGACCAGCGGTCACTGTTGTTGTGTGTGTGTGTGTGGGGGAGGCATTTGTGAATTTCCTGCCTTGTGCAGGGGGTTGGACTAGATGACCCTGGAGGTCCCTTCCAACTCTATGATTCTGTGATTCTAATATTATGTTATGGTGCTGGGCCATGGACGTGGGTCTGGCGGGGCATTTCCCTGCGTTGAAAGGATTTCTGCCGAAGTGTGAATTTCTTGCCTCTCCCCTCTCATCGCAGCCCCCAAACCCAACCCCCCCCCGCTGCTTCTTGAGATGGGGGGGCTTCCAGGAGTAGCATTCCTGGGGGCATTTGGGCTTCTATGGGAGGGGGAAGGCAAGAAAGTTGCATTCTGCAAGCAGAAATCCTCCCCCCCCCAACATTCTATTGGATCCCGGTTGTGATTTTCCACCCTACTGATTTCTGGGTCTCTTTACTTATGAGATCAGGGCAGTGCACATGTTATGCCCACTTTTAAAACGTTCTGGAGTGAGGATAGTGTAAATGACATATATTCCCGTATCTTTGTATAATAATCATGTTTGTTCTCTGTATATCTAATAGCCAAGTTGCCCCCCTCCGTGCGGATATCTAAATCCGCACGTCGGGGGCACTTGGGGTGGGGGGGCAGAGAGATTTTCCTGCACATCTGGAGCAGTCCCCAGGTGTGCAGAAAAATCTAAAAAGTTGGAAAAAAATATACAGGGGATATTTAAATCCCTCCCAAAAGTAAAAGCGCTCCCCGCGCATGTGCAGAGAACGCTCTGGCCGTTAAGGAGGCTCAGCGGGCCCAGTGGCTGGGAGCCCCTCGGACCTCACCGCCGGAGCCAGAGGGGGAGTGGGAGAAGGATTGGGAAGTCCACGTGCCTCACCACTGGTGCAGGGGGGGCGGGGAGAAAGATTGGTGGGCCCGGCGGCTGGTTGGGGGGGAGAAGGTTTGGTGGGCTCGGGCCTCGCCGTTGGTGCGGGGCGGGCAGGGGAGAAGGCTCACCTGTGGCTGCTTCCCCCTCGATGTGGATCTCCTTCTCCCCCCCCCCCCCCCGTGAGTATTGTGGGTCCCCGCTTCTTGTTTCATATAATTTGGAGTGCTTTGGCACGGGAGAGGAGGGAGGGAGGAGAATGGAGGCCGGAGAGGTTTCAGAGCTCTTAGTCTCCACGAGGACTTGGAAATGGTTGAGAGGAGGCAAAGCTTTTCAGGCTAACCGTCTTTGCTCCAAAGAGCAGATCCTGAGCAGATGTGATCTCTGTAACACACACACAGAGAGAGCCAGCATGCCGACAGCCTTGGTATGGAGGGCGTGGGGTTTGGGAGCCCGAACGCGAATGGAATCTAGGCCATAGTTTCTTCGCCACAGTCTCTGTGGGACCACAGCCAGCTCTCCGGCAGTCTCTTGGGGAACTTTGCCAGCCTTTTGACTCTCGCTCCCCCCATCCCCCCCCCCCCCCGCGTTTCCAGGCTCATTCTCATTATCAGCGCAAGACGCATCAGCCCACCAAGCTACGCATCCCGGAGGGGTTCTGTCGGGGGGCCCCTCATGGGAGCGTGCGAGTGCCTCGGGAGAAAATGGAGCTCTTCGCCGTCCTCTGCATCGAGACCAGCCACTACGTCTCCTTCGTGAAATACGGGCCGGAGAGAGAGAACTGGATGTTCTTTGACAGCATGGCGGACAGGCACGGTGAGTTCGCCAGGGGCTGTTTGTGTGTCTCCCGGGGCTGGCGCCTGTTCCAAAGCTGGGCGCCTGCAGGCACCCGCGTGTCTGGAGCATTTCAAAAGGACTTGGATTTGGGGAAGGAAAAGACGCCGGTTTAGAAGCCATTCAAGCGAAGCGGACGGCCTGTCTTGTCAAAATTAAATAGTCATTACCAGGGGTCATTCTGTAGAAAAAGAGGTGCAGGAGCTCATTAGCATAACTCATTAGCATAACTTATTTGCATACACCACACCCCCTGCCATCACCGGAAGGGTGTCAGAAGGCAACACCCACTGCTAAGGCTCCACTGGACTCTTTTGTATTGCTAGCTATTGGAGGGGGGACGTGCAGATCTGTCCTCACAGAGGAGGGAGAGCCTGTACCTGAATAAAACTAGGCCTTAAAGGTGCCACTGGACTGTTTTGGGCTGGGGGGAGCTCTGCAGCTTACCTGGCTGCTTCTTGCTCTGACTGAGGGCTGCTGGGAGCATGGGGTGGGGCTTGTTGCATGTGCCCGCCCCCTGGGCTCTTTACTGCCGGAGCTCCGCTCCTGTGCGCTCCTGCAGGAAATGACCCCTGGTCATTACAAAAAAGAGGTCCCTGAACCAATGCTCCCTCTAAACTGTGGAGTCCAGTGAGCAAAAATTCTACTTTGTGAGTATAATGTATCCAGTTCCGACCGCGTGGCCAGTTTGGGCTCCACGCGGTCAAGCGCAAACGTCGAGCTTCGCTCAGGGAAACAATGGACTAAGCGGATCCTAGCCCGCGCCTATCCGAGGACTAGGTTCCCGGCCGACAGCCTATGGAACTCTCGGCCACTGTAAATAACCTATTGGGATGTGGGGGTGTGTTCTGGGTGGCGGTTTCACGGGGAATAAAAGCCGGCCTGCGAGCCGGCTAAGGTGGTCTTGCTCTTCACTAATAAAAGTACGTTAGCTGAAATCACTCGTCTGCCTGCGTACGTTTCAGTGAGCGACTGGCATTAAAGTTGTGAGCAAATCATTTGGCTTCTGCATCAGTTTGCTCTGGAGCCCCATCCTTCCTGAGCATGTATGTATGTATGAGCCGGAGGCTAAAAAACGGAGCTGGCTCACAATAACTCAGCTTGGAGGGAACACTGCCTTGAACACAGAGGATGCTGGGAAAGATGCAGTCAGGGAGACGGGCTCCCTTAATTTGGAGTACTGAATGACTCTGCTGGCCTTTCCGGGACTCTGCCAAAATGACAAACTAGGCCTTTGACCCTTGTCAGCGAAGCCTTCTTGGGAAGCATTTTTTCAGGCTGGGGTCTTCCCCCCGGCTTTTCTCTGACTAATCAGCAGCTGTCAGAGATGGCTGGTGACAGATTTCTTTCCCAGGTCCACCTACCGGCACCGCTGCCTGCTTGGCGGCTGCCGCTGCTCGCGCTCCATTGGCACAGCCCACATTCCTGTGGCAGAACAGGTCTCCTAGCCAGGTACGGGGCTCCGTAAGCAGCCTTGCTCCATGAACGCGTCCAGTCGGCACCTCTCATTCTCAGCTTTGTATTTCAGCCTGGTAATAAATAATAATAATAATAATACTTTCAATTTATTAATCGCTTTCCCCAGTGGGCTCAAAGCGATGTACAGTTACACAGTTTAGACACGGGTCTAACAATGTTCATAGGGGATAGGGAAGACAACATATATTCATTTAATTGCACACGCTGTCACTGCATGGTGTAAATGGCTTCTAGCTTGGCTCAGTCATTTTCCGAACGGCTGCTTGTCGATGAGGCTTCAGGACCCGTATGTCAAATCGCCACACTGCCACTGCCTGCCTGGAAACATCCACTGCAGGGATTTTTGTAGCCGAGAAGTTCTTTCGCCTTTTCCAAGCCTCGACCAGGACATCCCGACCATCAGCTAACACCCTCCCACAAGGGAGATTGGTGTGCCCACCCTCTCTAAGGAGTGGTTCCCATTTTATCTACTCGCCGAAGCTTTCGAATCGCTGGGTGGACGATGAGCTGGGGACGGCTGGCTGCTCACACCAGTGCGGGGCTCGAGCTAACACAGTTCGGATGTTAAGACAGTGGGATATACCCACTGTGGTAGGAGGGGGGGTTCAAGGAGTGCTGCTTCTACTTTGTGCTGGGCGGAGAGGGGAGGGGAGGCTCCAAGGGAGGGGCAGGCTGCTCTTGCAGCGGAAGATGTCTGTGATGGAAGCAGTGGCTGCTCAGGTTAGGGTGGAGTTGGCGTGACCCACAGCTCCGATTCCAAGTCAGGCTGCAGGCACCAGGAGCAGTTGCAGGAGGTGACCGTTCTTGCTTGCACTGGGAGAAAGGGGTAATTCTTGTTGAACATCTAGGCATCTCGGTGACCAGTGTTCCCTCTAAGGGGAGTTAGTGTGAGCGAGCTCATGGTTTTTTAGCCTCCGGCTCACAGGTTTTTGTCTTCGCTCAGGATAGGCTTGCCAAGTCCCCCCGGGGGGTGGGGAAACCCCCGCCCCAGAGGCCCGTTCCCCGCTGCCACTGGATTGGTCCCTGGGGGGAACTCCACCCCGACGTGCACGTCACCAGGAAGTGACGCGGGCACGCCGGGCACGCTGGGGGCGGGACCACAGTCATCCGAGGGAAAACTCTATCTTTTTCCCTCGGATGATCGTGGCCTCGCCCCCAGCGTGCCCAGCGTCGTCACGTCACTTCCTGGTGATGTGGATGCGGCACACGCACGCACTCCGGGATCGACCCGGGAGTCCCCCGCTCTGGAACAAGGTGAGACTTGGCAACCCTAGCTCAGGAAGGGACGGATCCAGAGCAAACTAATTTAAATCGCTCACAACTTCAATGCCAGCAGCTCACAAAGTAGAATTTTTGCTCATAAGACTCCACAGCTTAGAGGGAGCATTGCTCGTGACCTCCTAGTTTCTGGGCCCTCAGGCCTGTCTCCTTCTCAGTTTGGTGCAGTGCTTAAAAGTGTGGACTCTAATCTGGGAGAACTGGGTTTGAGTCTCCACTCTTCCACATGCAGCTGCTGGTGTGACCTTGGGTCAGTCGCAAGTTCTCTCAGAGCTGTTCTCCCAAGAGCAGTCCTTGAAAGAGTTCTCTCAGCCCCACCGACCTCACAGGGTGTCTGTTGTGGGGAGGGGGAGGGAAGGAGATTGTAAACTGCTCTGAGACTCCTTTGGGTAGTGAACGGCGGGGGATAAATCCAATCTCCTCCTCCTCCTCTAATAATAGGTCCACTCTCCTTTCACTGCCATCTGGGTTGGTGGCTGTCACCACATCCTGTGGCAGCCAGTTCCACAGTTTACATACTGTGCGAAGAAGTATTTCCTTGTGTCTCCCACCCTTCAGCTTCAGCAGATGATCCCGGGTTCTAGTATTACTAGTGGATGATCCCGGGTTCTAGCCAGTTTGGTGTAGTGGTGAAGTGCGCATACTCTAATCTGGGAGAACCGGGTTAGATTCCCCCACTCCTCCACTTGCACCTGCTGGTGTGACCTTGGGTCAGTCACAAGTCCTCTCAGAGCTGTTCTCTCAAGAGCAGTCCTTGAAAGAGCTCTCTCGGCCCCGCCTGCCTCACCGGGTGTCTGTTGTGGGGAGGGGAAAGGAAAGGAGATTGTGAGGCA